AAGACCGCAGCAGCCACAGGTTGGCGCTAACCGGCGACGGCAGCAGCAACAGCAACAGCAGCAGACAAGGAAGAACCGCAACCTTAGCGTTGCCGACAAGATTAATTTGCCTCTGGATGCGCTGATTGCATCGCGCCAAGAGCAACAGCAACGGCAGCAGTCGAAACAGCAGCAGCAGCAGCAGCAGCAGCGAGTGGGTACGGGAGTTGCGTTACTTGGGAGGAAAACGGGTGTGAGTGGCCGTCGCGGCGCAATTTTAGCATCACGAATATCGGCGCGCCGAGGGCGGCTTGGTGCTGCTGCTGCCGCTACAGCAGCAATTCGCGGACCACCGCGAGGCGCAGCTGCAAAGGCACTTGCAACAACAGCCAGGAGGGAGGGGAGGATTCGCACACCCCACCAGCAAGTTGTAGAAACGCTGAAGTCAGCTGCAGGTTTCAAGAACGCAGTAACTCGCCGCAGCACGGGTAGTAATGCCTACGTTCGGGCCGCAGCAAGGGCGTCAACAAGGGCCAGATTTGCCGCAGCAGGAAGTAGACGCCTAGATAACGGCACGCTGCAGTTGAGAAGGCGGCCTGCCGCTGCAGTTTATCCAGCATCGAGGTTGAATACTTCCTTGGCTCGCAGACGGGCGTTCGGAGCAACACTAGCAAGGGCAACCAGTAACACTGCTGCTGCTGCACAGAAGTCTCACATCACCACTGGCACTGCAGCGAAACCAGTCAACAGAAGAAGGCCACTTCCAACTCTGTTGTCAGCATCAGCAGCAGGCGCAGTCTCACCGCCTTCGCATGTTGCAGATCCTGAAGCACTCGCAAACATCAAGATTATGGCAACCTTGGATACTGTTCCGGCTCCCTTGCCGCAGCAGCGGGGCACCCACGTCGCCATTCCTGCTGCAATGCAGAGGCAACAGGAAGAGCAACAGCAGCAGCCCTCCAGGGCAGTTGGCGCTGCTGTTGCTGACCACGGTAGCTTGAGCAGCAGATTTGGCTACTAGGGCAAAGAGTAACAGGCAGGTATTCAGGATGTTTGTCCACTGTCCCTTCTCCTGCGGTTCACCGGGAGAGCGATGGGATACAAGCAAGTATTGTACTGTGGCAGAAAAGTTTCTACTGTACGTGCACTGCAGTAGTAGCTGAACCAGACCTTCATGGCGCCTGCAATAGCATCAACTGGGATCCCAGCAGTTGAGCTGCACGCGAATGAGAACATAAGCTGAGGAACATGCCGCAGCTGGGTCTTCAGGCACTGCTGTAGTTTCTGATCCAGCGAGTTCCGCCAAAACCGTTGCGCTTGCCGTGGAATTGGCTACAGCTCGTCTGTTCCCCGTGTTGAATCGACGTTCATCTTGGCATTTGTTTTCTGTCCTATGACGCTGTCCCTGTTTTTTTTCCTTTGTGTGTCTCCCTAGTATTGCTTCGTTGGAAATTCAAATCTTCGTGGTGACGCTGCATAGCCGTTACAGGGTTCCCACCGGATACAGGTTCAGGGGCAGAAGCGGTAGACGGGTTGTTAGTTGTTCCAGCAGTGTTGTGATTGCTACGGGCAGCGTCATTTGTGCTCCATTAGCATTGGGACGTCGCATCTGGGCAGCGGATGGTGGCTTGAATTTTTACACAGTATTTGAACTGTCGGATGCCGTGGATTGGCTCTGCTTCTCCATGTGCAGGGCAGGGCAGTGTTGTTAACAGGAAGGAGTGCTCCGTAGCGGATAAGAACTATTTTTGTTACGTAGGGATGAGGATTGTTTTGCCTTCCACTAGGAGAAAAAGAGGGCGTAGAGGGAAGCGGTGCATCTAGAATGATGAGGATTTACGCACGTGGAACAAACACGCATACGATTGTCTTCCAAGCATCCTAGGTCTCAGTCATGTCCCTGTGAGCCAGGAGCTTCAGCAGTTAGAGAACCATTCGCAAGAGTTTCAACTGAATAACTGACGAGCAAGAGAGTTTCATTGTAAAATGGGCTTACAGCTAGTAGTCCGAGACCACAATGTCCCCAGAATGGTCTTTCCACTTCGTGTGAGTGGAGACTCAAGCACGGCTCATAGTTAGCCTCTGAACAATTGTCTGAAGCGGGCTACAAAAAGGATGTGGAGCTGGTGTTCACCGAAGTGGAGGTGGATCTACAGGGCTAGCTTTGTTTTCCTGAGTCACGCGAGTAGCAGCTAGATGGGTCGTCCCGTTGTGCTACTGTAGCAGTTGTGCTATACCTATTAAACGACCTTTGCGTAGGCTTACCCAACGGTACCACCTCGTTTGCCTACAGTGTAATTTTATGCGACGCCATCATGTAATAGTCACATTCTTACTGCAGAGCGCAAGCGGAACTTCATGGATTCAGGCTGTAGAATTCGGAAAAGCGTCGCTGCCCTCAGCAGCATCTCCAGTCTATGCTGTCACGCTTTTGATGTTTTTAATCAATGCTGCTTGTCTGACGAGAGAAGCCTCAAACACTGGTGCATGAGAAACCGTCCTCCTTTCGGAACGTGTGCCCTAACTAAACCAGTGAACCCGTAGTAGAAGGTACGCCAGCTCAAGACTAGTGCATCTTCTTTGTCACCCAAAAGGAGCTCCATTATTCCGCGCGCTTCTTCATTATGCCCGTAACTTGTTCCGACAAAGTTCCCCTGTAGATCTCATTCAGCATCTCAATGAGATCTAGAGGGGAACTTGTCTTGCCATAGCTAAAGCATACGATGAAACTTCTATGCACCATGTATTCTTCTTCCAGTTTTGAGCTAAAGCTGGAGCTTAAGATTTGGTAGAAACGCAGGTTTTGCCTTTTCTTCCAGTTACTTTGTGTGTCTGCCCAAGGTTGTACCATCAAGCCGATTTAGCAGCAACGCATGCCAATGCGAATCTGTGCTTCACATGTGTCCCATCGATGCCAGATTGACTGTATTGATCCAATATTGCAGCAGTTTCAGATAGAAGCAGAGACGCATAGCGTGGTTCGATATACAAAGGGGCACTTCCTGCGTGGTTGTGAGCCAACCAAGAAGCATGGCAGGCATTACTTCAGAGCTACAGGGCATGTAAACGTTTGGCTTTGCTACTCTCAAGGAATTATAAGATTCAGAGTGCGAGGACGGCACAGCCTTGTTCAGTGCTTCTAGGAATGTCTGCGCAGGAGACGCGCTGGCATGACCTACACAAGACCACCACGGGAAAATCTTACAACGCTTAAAGGAGATCATTTTGCACAAATCAAGCTGAAAGAGACTCTTCAAGGTGCAGCCAGAAGGAGAAGTCAGTTAGTAGGCCACCACACACAAAAGGCATAAGACACGCCAAGGAAAATCCATTGACCATGAGGCGCTGCAAACGGCACAAGAAGATTCCCCATGAAGATTCCTATCTGAGAATATTCAGCAGGCATTCTGTAGGTTGAGAGTCCCACTGACTGCCCGCTTGCTTTTCTCCGCGCGTTACGTTTCACCCTAAATGCTACGCTGCCGAGTTTACTTGCTGCTTCGTTGCTTTTCATAGTATTTTCATCTGTCGCGTCTTTTAATATGGCGACAAACTGTATGTGTCTCGCCGTTTGCTCTTCTTTCGCCACACACACGCAGGTCCGACGATCTAGCAGGAAACATTCTTGGCCCGACTGTTTCTCTCTGGCGGAAAAGAAGCTCATGCTAGCGTGCTCAATAAAAAATATCAAACGGGATGAATCTGAATTAAGAGGAGCAGCCAGGGAAGTTGCTGACACGGAATCCACCAAAGCAGGTGTATCTCTGTTACTGGACGGCTCCCGTGGACTCAGGCCTTCTCATGAGGATGGTGTAGATCAGCTTTCGCAGCCTCAGTCACATCGCCGTATCGGTTCCACCGAGGCTCAGGCGCCTTCGGTAGGTCCACCTGAGATGTTCGACGTAGCCTTTGCTCCTCTGTCACTATGAAGTTCCCTTTATTCCGTTTACCTGTGGAATGTTTCCGCACGCTGCCTGTTCAGCATTGTGAAGCTGCGCTCTCAGAAAGTCCTAAGTAAACGCTCAGTAATGTGTATCAAAATTCCGGTCGCATTTTAGCATGGGTCATTTGGAGCCAACCAGTGAGCTGATTGGTTTTTGCATGGCCAGCTGGATGTTGCGCAGGACACGTTGACACTTGAAAACTGCTGGCCTACGAGCGAGCTAACATTAGAGTGGCTGCGGTTGGGCCGAGCTAAGATGGAGGCTTTCCAAGAAGTCTTGAGGCAAGGGTCAATGTTTGCCAAGTGCTTGCTTGCTATGATAGAGGATTAAATGGTCAAGCGGAATTCAACAGTCAGGTGGAAAGCGGTATAACTCATCTCAGGTTTACCTGCACAACGATGCCTGGCTACCGTAGTGAGCGTTAAGTGATGAAAGCCTGATTCGTATGAGGGAGATACCATGTGACTTTTGATTTGTGGCACCCAGGCGACGGCTTTCCTCCCCGATAGAAGCATGCCACTGGCCTCTGCCTGCATGCGCAAGACCTGCGCATCGTTGTGTTGCTCTCAATTTGAAACTCGCGTCTGCACTACCAACTGCAAGCGGCGAATGCAGCAAACAAGCATTCTACGATAGTGGCGATGCAGCGAACTCACGTGGGGGATTTTCACCGCTGTCTAGCCAATCCACGACACAGGGGCCTCTAAATAGAGAAAGAGGAGGCTGCAAGGGGGGTAACGGACCTGAGAGCGCATGCACGTGCACTTTTGTCCGTGATTGCGCCCTAATCATCTCGGAAGATCCCTTATTGCGTCCATCACTGCTGGCAATGTCACTGGGCATTTCAGAAGTTCATACCGTCGTAGTGAGTGCTGTGTTGGCTGCTGCGCCATCTGGCCAGCTGATTTCGTGCAAGTATCCTCCGTGTGAGGTATCCAGGCGGCCGCCGCTTGCAGTGTGCGGTAATTATGACATCGAATGCTCATTCCGCCTTCAGTTTCTTCCCTTCCCGCTCTTGCCTTTATCATTTCCCTGAAATGTAGAGTATATGTCTGGTTGCATGTTTTTGTTTGGTAGATGAGGGAGGCTAACTGGGAAAGGGCACTGACTGTTGCGAATTGCCTTGGCCGACCAGACAGCCTGAAGGTTTTCCGTTCATTAGAGGCTCTCGAGCAAGATATCTTCGGGGCAAGCATTGCAAAAATTCTCACGGGTGAATTGGTGCCTCCTCATACCTGCAAAGTCGACACAAGCCCGTCCTGCCAACAGCAAGGTGACGCTAGACGGTATCTGGCGCAAATGTGCAACAAGCGACAGCATTGCCGGAACAAGACTGTAGGAAATTCTGGTCAAGAAGTTACTCTAAAAGAGTTGCAAGATCACCTTCACCGTTATCGTATTGTTCTGATAGATGACCACTATTGTGGGCCGATTGTCTCTGCATTTGGTCTGCCTCTCCTTCTAGAGTTTGTCCGCACGCACACATGGTAAGGCACCTTCTTTTGTTGGGCATGTGGGATTTTTGTGACGGTTTTGATACACAGCTAGGCCTGTAGTTCTCCTGTCACTCCTCGTACGAAGCATTGGTAACATGTGCTGAGGTGCTTGGAAGTCTGTCTATCTGGGACTTTGCACGTATTCTCTGTGACCTTTGCAGCCCTGCATGCTGTCTGGTGCTTCCGAGGCGCTGGCAGACCTTGGTAACGCCGGTGTCGTGTCCCCCGCTAGTGCCTAGTGGTCAGTACGCAAAAGTTGTGGAGGGGGAAAGGCCTAATGAGCTACTAATTAGGCGATTTGCTCAGAGCGGCCGCGCCATGAGTGGCGAGTCTGTTCGGTTGGAAGATGTAGCACTAAGTGATCGTTTTTGTGTATTTGAAAGCTTCGAGCTCGCTTCCCTGACCAGATGCTCATACAAGGATCCTGCAATGGCACATAATGTTTCGTGTAAGTATGCGACAACCGAAAGTGCAACTCTTCTTGAAGGAAACAGGACTGAAAGCAAGGACGCAGGAAGGTGCACGTTTCACGATGAAGCGTGGAGACGCAACTGCCTTCCCTGTGCCAGAGACAGACAGCTTAGTTGGTCCAAGGAGAGACAGACCGTCGTCAACGGCAGTGCCGTCTGCGGTATCGAAGTCGCGGGACCATGCGCGGGTTTGATTATCCGAAGCTACATACTCGTTGATGAGGTTCGTAAGTATGTAACCTCGAGAAACTTGGAGAAGGATAGCCATATAACGTTGTTTTTGCTTGAGACTGCGGGGTGGCTTTCCATTGCGATCCGATCCTCAGATTGTCTCCCAAGCGTTCTCGGTGCACTTGTCCCTCTGTTGTCAGGGTATTTCTTTAGCTCCCAGTGCACCATTGATGGTTTTTCTCCCAGAGGAGGTTTATCTCTCGACGCATCATGTTGTGATGCTTGGCCCTGGTAAGATAATGACTCGTAGAAGTCAAATCTGGTCAATAATTCTCGAAGCCGAGCGCTACCAAACTGTGTGCGTGTTGTGAACTGCAATCTAGCTGCGGTTTCGTACTCCAGAAGAGCAGGAGTGGGACTCACAGAGTCTGCCAGCATTGTGAAGGAGGGACGAGCGACCCCTCTACCCAGTTTAGATTCCAGGGAAGCTTCTAAAGAAGACTCATCCGAAGACCCACGCACAGCCGATCTGCAGTCAGCCCAAGACGTGAATCACAGGTATGCACTAACAACGAGCCGAGCACTGGCCCCTTCTGCGGCGCCGTGGAGAAACCTCAAATTTCAGCAGCCAAATTACTCCTGGAAGTGGACAGCACTATGTGATGGCACGCGGATAGTGGACCTTGGCATGGAAGTGAGTCTTTTAGACCTTCATCAAACAACGCTGCAGCATTCTGATATTGACTCATCTTCATTTTTAGAAAAGTAGTCGAGTAATCAAGGAAGGTTCGCCGCCAGGGTATTTACAAGTGACGTGTGGGCAAGATGACAAACGCTGGAAAATCATTGATGCAACAGAGCACAGAGGAGCTGACTGCGAAGAAGAGTCTCTGGAAAGCGGATGCAGTGATGATTTGCTGGGAACCATTCGGGAACCAGTGAACGTGATATGACCTCACCCGTGCGGACTGAGCTAACAAGGGCGCTAAACCTCAAAGGGCTAGCACAGTTTAGAACCAGCGAATGATTTAATGACTTCGTACGTACAAACGTCTCCCGCTCAAAAGGCTTACTGATGGCAGGAGCTGTGCAGAAACACACTGTGGGCATTGCTTCATTGCACTTGCTTCCTAGCAATTCTTTCTGGCTCATGCGGTTGAAACTTTGAGGAACTAGGGTTTTGGCAGTAGCAAGATCTCACTGCCGAAAAGAACACTTCCAACGTTAGAGGTCCACATTTGCGGTGTGGTGAAGCACGTGAAAAGGCCCTACAGAAAGTTCATGGGGGATTATCCGTTGCTCGTAGTCTATTCGAAACGAATTTCTCGAGGCAAACGGTAGCTTGAAGTTATCTTCATGCGGTGCTCTTTAGGGGCATCTATCTATACAATATGAAGGTACAGTGGGAAGCGGGGCCACAGTGTTAAAACCTGAAATACTGTGTTGTACCCAGAAGCGTCCACATTCAGGTGGAGCCTAAACAGAATTTCTCGGAGCCTGTTTTGGAGTGCAATTGGTGGTACTGGGCGTCTGTTAACTCCTGCATGAGAAGTGCCGCCGTCGAGCGAATATCTGACCCGTTAGCTTTCGAGAAGCAGAAAGCAGTGCTAACGGGATGGTCTACAGATTAAGCTAAAGCGTTTCGCGCACAGTTGGCACTTTGGCAACGGTGTACCTAGTACACCGTTGCCAAAGTGCCAACTGTGGTGGCCAGTTGCTGGTGCGTCGGGCTAGCGCCTCTGCTAGTCGATCTGTGGTGTTTGAGGGTGAGAAGCAGCAGATATATTGACAACTATGGGGCGTATATGCTTGTCAAAAAGAAAAGCTGTAGACTGCATGAGTCTATATAGGAGCGCCATCTGCACGGCCAAAGCAAACAACGTGACTGAATGTGAGCGGTCTAAGCCTTTTTGCCAAGCCTTCTTCCACAATTTCAAGCTGCTTCTCATCGAACACTTTTAGATTTGATAGTTTGCCTTCAGTAAGCTGTTCCTGCTTCGAAATGGCGCCGTCGAGCAGCAGCATTGTGTAGCGCACCACCTCGTAAACAGCACCATGTACAACGACGTGTCCACGTAGTTCCACTGCCAGACAGCCACCTCCCAAAAATATGCAAAGGTTAAATCTTGCTGGGGCACTGCTTGACAAGGAAAACATTCTGAAGTAGTACTGCAGATACTGAACAACATCGCTCAAAGTGACCCTGTGGGAGCTGTCAACAGGCATGCAAAGGCTGCGTGCTTGGCTGGAGAACGCCTTCTGTGTTTATAGGTTTTCAGTGCTCGAAGGAACAAAAGGCGTTGCACAAGGACACAGAACTAACACCAGAGCTGCCACTGTTGTCGAGAACCGAAAGGTGAAATCTCGGCTGTCAAAATGGCTGACAAGGAGACTCCATCATTGGATCGAAGCCTGCAACAAATGCGTTTTGGGGAGAGCATTACGTTTGTAGATGACATCGTATGCAGTGACGGCCCTGTGTTCTTGGGTGGGTTCTCGGCAGTTAAGCAGACCATCAACAGACCACTGGTTGCCCTAGAATGTATGGCACAAGAATTACCGTTAGTGCCTCAAAATGTAAGTAGCTCGTCTACGCTTTGCGAACATGCAGCGATGCGTAGACTTTTCAACAAGGTTGACTGCAAAGACTTGGCCGATTTGGTTATGAAGCTACCTGTAAGTGCTGTTGTGGCCCGCTTCGCAAACGCTCCACAAGAAGCTGAGAAGCGCAGCCTAGAGATACTTTTCCAAGAGTGCTTTTACTCGGGCTTCCCAGATATTATCGAGTGGATTCCACCCGACCTCGCTGAATGTATGCCTCTGCCCTTCGCTTCACACAGGGTTTCCCCCGACACGGCATGGATTTGACTATCTGGTTGCATTGCCAACAAGTATCGCTCCCAAGAACTTGCTTGTGTCCTCGCGCGATGCTGCCACAATGCCCTCCTGCACCATTTCGTAGCGCTTCTGAGTTGGCTGACACACATCGCTAGAGCTTGCTTTTATCTTGTAACGCGATGCTGCCACAGTGTCCTCTTGCACCATTTCGCAGCTCTTCCGAGTTGGTTGACAGACACGTGTCCTGGAGTGCCGGAAGCAACTAGACTGACACCAAGCCTGCGACAGAAAACGCCATACAATCTGACACCTAGCTCGCCAAGGGTCCTTCCTGATATTTCAGTGTGTCCCACGTATACGTATGGTCTTCCAAGTCCTGTTTTGCCTGGAGAGAAGGGAGACACCGCAACTGTCAAAAACTCCGAGATTATGGGGGAGAATGAATTTGCACGCCGTGCAGTACTTTTGTGGGCGAAGTTGGGCAGAAAAACGCGACGCACTGTAAAGACTGGCTCTCCTATTGGCAGTGAAGCGAGTGATAACAAGATTGTGTCATCATCAGTGCACGTCCCGTGGGGCTTCATCGTTCCGGGAGGTAGATTCAGAGAAATGTACTACTGGTAAGCATCCACACTGGGGATCTCAGGTATAGCCATGTTTTGCTTGAAGCACCTCCGTATTGCGAATACCTGGATTAAGTAGAAGGCGCGTTTTTCGTTGCAGGGATTCTTATTGGATTGTTCGAGGCCTTCTGCACAGTGGCATGATTTCCACAGCACGAGGAATCATACTCAATTTCGCTGATCTTGTGAGGAGATTTGGATTTATCCCAAGTAAGCACAATACTATAGTTGTCCCCACCGATCGTTTAATGCCTCGCTTTAATTTCCAAAAAATCGAAACTTGTGTCTTCATGTGGTGCACATTATAGACGGAAATCGTTCGTACTACCTGACCCGCAGTCAGCCTCCGGTCTTCAGTATGATGCTATCGGCGTACTATGCATTCACTGGAGATCTTGAGGTGATCCTTAATTGCTAGGTTTGAGCCAACACTAGCAGGTCTTAGCTTCTGAAACCAGTTACATTACTTTGAGTTCACTCTTAATGGCTGTCAAGTGTTGCGCAGCTTATTCGCGACACTTACCTTTACGTGCAACGTGAGTACTTTTACTGGATGGAAGGCGACTTACGCCAAGTGCACGTCACTTTAGGTGAGTTGCTCTCTCGAGGGAAACTCACACGATGCCGACTGTTCCTGTGCTTCAAAGAGTGCAGGACCGCACTAGTGCCAAACATGGCCTGAATGCGGCGTCATGGTGGTCGTGTAAGTAGGCACTACAAGCTGGTTCCTCTTCTGATTCTTCTAGAGAGTTGCGTTTGTAGCTATCAAGATGCGGGTTACTAGGAGTCATACATTGACGCTTTTCAGACGGGAGGGATCTGCAGCTGAATCGTTATCTTGGCCATATCGCGGAGCCTCGAACAGAATCCTGGGACACTGACGAGACAGTAGTGCGAACTGCAGCAGAGAAAGCCCTCCAGAATGGCAATCATGAGTTCTCTGCTGCTGCACGTTCCTGCATACTGCAAAACATTCGAGCAGCGGCTGAGTCGGTGCGTCGGATGTGCCTGATCCCCTGGGTCTGTAGCCGCACTACCAAGGGCCCGTTGTTTTGTGCGTCCTCCATTGTTTTTCATCACCGTGTAGGACTGAAGTATTGCTGACAAACGCTCAGGGGTGGGATTTCTCATCGCGTTGGGTTCCAGATGACGTCGATGCAGTAACTGAAGGGGTGATGCCCGCCCTCCGTTCAGAATCATTCCTACCAGTGGATTTGAACAGGCGCGTTCCAAGCCCTAAGTGCTGGAAGGAAAGCACACAAGAGCTTGCAGGCAACGCAGCATAAAGTAACCGGCAGATGCGGAAAGTTGTTGCGGGCCTAGCAAGACGCTGCTGGTACTTGCTCAGGGATATGTTAAACCCTTACTTTGCCTTTGTGCAGCTTCTTATACCACTCAGAGCTCTATTTGCTCTACTTCGGGCGAGTACTCAACCAGTTTGACCCTCTGTGCGAGGGACGGAGAGCCCCTGAGTATTTTTTGAAGTGTGCGACGGATCGCAGAGATGCAATGCTGCAGCTACTTTGGAACGACGAAGCTAGCTGGTGGTCTGTTTGACCCTACAAACAAGGAGAAAAAACTCTCTGGAACATATCAGCATCAACTCTGTACACTGTGTTTCTTTGGTCGTTGCTTGAAAATGGATAGGTGTAGCTTAGTGCTTTGAGCTATTAACGTGGGAGCGATTGTGACTGTTGGCAACTCTTTGAGCGTCTCAAACGGTTTGGAGGCTTGTGCAGGTTTGATTTCGACATTTCGAAAGGCCGGCAGTCCACGAGAATAACGTCCGCTGGAGTTGTTCCCCTTCTGATGCAGATTCATTCATCTGTGAACGTACAGGCGTGTCGCCTTTTCGGCTTCGAGTGTAGCTCTAGTGGACATGCTGCTACATGTACATGCCATGGCATTACTCTCAGCGAGCGAAAGGGGGAAACAACAGCCCACAAGAGGCAGATTTCGTCGGCACAATTTCTTGTGGAGAAATCGGGCCTTTGGGACTCCTGGGGTTTATCAGTGAGTTTCATATGCTTTTGCACATTTGTGGTGCACACGGCATTCTGTTCAACACAACTCATGTTGATTTGTCTTGTGACGGTATTTACAGGCAACCCAGGTCAAAACTGGGCAGCAGTGGGACAAGCCAAATTGCTGGCCGCCACTGGTCCAGATGGCGGTGGAAGCAATTATCAACCTAGAAGATCAAGCCTTGTTGAGTGCAATTAAGTGCATGACGGATAAGTATATTTTCGCATGCACACAGGTCAGTTTGTGGGCAATATTCAGAAGATACAAGGAAATTTTTCGTGTCATCGCAAGTATTTTGTGACGAGTACTTGCCAGCTGCGTTCCACGAAGACTGCACTGCAAAGTACAGGCTGCTGTACAGGCTTGTTATAAGGTCTGGTAAATATTGTGCACTGGCATCCCGTAACCTTATTTGCGCTCGGTTTTTCTCGTTCGTGTTTTGGCTCAAAGGCTTACAATAGATTAGGAGCACTGCCTGAGAAGTCCAACAGCTTGATCTCCGGGTCCTGCGGAAGCGGAGGGGACTATAAGTGCCAGATAGGCTTTGGCTGGAGTATTGGCGTTGCTCTCGAGCTGTTGTTTGCTAAGCGCGGGACTTTCTGTGCCCGGGAAATGAAGGAACGCCGCCGGAAGTTCGGCTATGCATCCTATGTGCAAGCCTTGCAAGCCGCTCATAAAAGCTAACTTGCACGCTTTCAAGTATTCTTGGCTGGCTGCAAGCTGACGCCAGTATTTCTGTCTACTTGGGGCTCTCATCACCTAGAAGCATGTCATCTTATTTGGCAGGAAGCTTCATGTGCAATATCTATTCGCCACCACCTGCAATCGTATTGATGAACTTGTATAAACAGGCCCGCCGGCATATCGAATGGCTATGCCATTTGATAGTACTTGAAGTCGGCGCAACAGGTGCCAGATACGAAACTGCATCAAATTAACATTTTGTCATCTACTGGCTTGTTGATGCTGGAATATGTGCTGCAACAAATAGATTCAGTGCCCATTCGGTTGAGCCTCAACGGAGTCTCAGGAAGAGTGCAGTCATGTCGTCTGCAAAAATCTGTTCCTGGTTAATCCATCGGCGCCACGACTCCCGGGCAAGCTCCTCTGGTGCAGTTCTCCACTGCGTAGAACGCAAAAAAAACTGCTGCGTCGCGTAGAGCACATCTCCAGGTGTACTTTGTCCGGAAGAAAAACGACATCTACACTAAGTGTTCTGGAATTTTTACAAGTTGAGTACATCTTTACCCCTTTTCTTTCGGCAGAATGGGCAATGTCAACTGCTTCTTGAGACGAGAGAACGTTCCAGACACCGTCAGTGCATAGTAGAAGGAACGGGTCGCGTTTGACATCGACACGGTACTCTAGAAGAAACAATGACAAAATTGATTAGATTTGCAGGTGGCAGGAAAGCAAGCTTTTTCCTTAACAGTCCAAAATTGTTCAACAGTAGAGTTCACGAGCTATACCAGCGGAACAACAGCACAGTACGCACTCATGGAAATACAGAGCCCACCTACCCTTTATATCTGGTTTCGCTATGACTCCTGCACTTCCAGCAAGTGTATCGCCGATTGACCGTGCCACGGCAAGACCAGGAAGGTACTTGTCTGTAAGAAAGATCCGATGGAGGCCATCTCCTCGCGGCGCCCTGACCTCCCCTCCTTCAAACACCACATAAGGTACAAAATGCGAGTAAAACGGCACGCCTAAGTGGAACAATGGTGCAGTCACTGAAGTTAGTTGCATTACCAGCTTTGATAATCCGGCGCAGTTCCGTTATATTAGTAGGAATATGGTCAACAGTGAGGTCGATAGCTCGGACCCCGCAACCTGTACGGAATCGTCAAGGACACGTCACGGCAAAGGGTGCATCCTCCCCACATTCAACCAAGCCAGCCACTACAACGATCCTGAATGGTAGTGTGCAACCTGAATCCAGCGTCACCTGTTCGAGCCTTTCCTGCTTGCCTACCGTATTTGGAGAGCTTGCACAGCACAGCTCGGCTATTGCCAACGTGAGCTACAACAAGTCTGTTTTGTTCTCTCAAGTACACTATGATGGTAACTGTGGTCCCGCTGAGCTTGCTATCCAATCTGAACTCGCTACATTTCGTTTCCAGATTGTTATGGGCCTGAGAAAAATGCATTCACCGACCTGTCGCGCCGCATTGTTGCTCGGGAATCCAAGTAAGAGCAAAATATTAAGTCCATGCGAAACAGGCAATAGCTAGTTTCTGGAAAGAATCGAATGGATGCAGTATTTGCTACAGCCACGCTCACCCTAAGGAAAGCTTCCTGGAGCACGCTCCCAGACTTCAGAGGAAGATCAGGGTTGCGTATAATCAGCCTTAGCAGGTCTTGCTGAACTATGTTACAGATGTCGTGGCCGAAAGGGCCATGCCCGTCGAGAACGCAACACACTGTGCACCCGTAGACACTGAGCAGAAGCATGCAGAAGAAATTACCGTACGACAAAACATGACTTGCGGCATAGTTAATGGTGATGGCACTGTGATGAGATTCTGCCTGCACGCATCAGGCAGGCCGTCGAAGCAATGAGATTCCAGTCAATCAACCGCTCACTGACAAACGAAGAATCCGTCATTGTTTGGGCAGTTTGGCCTGTAACCTTTTTTGCAGACGACACTAACCCCTAGATTATCGAGCGAGAATAGTGAGTCGACTCCCGTAACTCGGACAGCCTTCTCCTGAAACAGTTAAAGCGGAGATTTTATGGAGCCTCCATGATCTGCTCACTTTGCACCTTTGATTCATTTAAGTTCCACTCAATATATTGCTTGATTAACAGCAAGTCACTTCTATGGCTTGTCGCACATTGCTGTGCCATGGCACAGACGTGTCCTAATGATGAAAAACCTTAGTATTTCCGTAAAACCTCCTCACTACAACCATGAAGACCAGATAAATGCCCTTGCCGTCTTCTGGAAACTCGTACCTCGAAGTTGCATTGTGGTAAGTTGGTCGATATGCTGGAAACGCACAGACTTCCGGTTCGTCCACTATTCGCTATGTGGCTTCTTTTTAACGGTGTCAACTGTGTGCTGCCCTCCGGGGACACCGGTAATGCGTGACGTATTGCAGTTGGCTGCTCTTCCCACCTTACTGAATTAAACTTCCATTGTTTAATCGGCTCCTTCAGGTCTCCATCGCGTTGAAACTTCAGTTTCTGCTGTACCTGCACGTCATTCTGCGCAGTTCCTGATGAACCACCGCCCCTTGTGCGTGGGTCTGCTTCTTTGCACGATATTTCGAGGGCCTCGTTTCGTTCGATACCATCTCCAAAGTATTCTGGTGCATCTTCTGCCAATCTTGTGGAGGAAGAATGCCCCTGTGTAACATTCACCTTGAGGGCAGCGTTTTGAGGTCGACAAAATCGACCCAGGAGATTGGAATGAATGGCCCGAGCCAAATACGGCTGGGATTCGGGTACAGTTAGTATCCCGTTTCCGCATATTCTAACGCCCAAGATTGGTGAGACGCACGGATATTGCTGATGGACAGAGGGAAATAACACTGAAGTAATTCTACGCTCCTTTCGGCGCTCCTGAGACCGAAGCGGTCGAGCAAAGCAAGAAGAACTCGTCCAGTTTCCGTCTGTCTTCAGCTTGTCCACCACCTGTGTCTCTGTGACGTGAGTATTCCCTGCGCACATGTCGCATATCGCATCATGCTCATGAAATCGTTCTTCGTGTGCCCTCAATTATATGTAAGAATAAAACACATGGGTCTACGCAAGTCGAGTTGGGCGAAGCTTTGGCCCGATTGTGTGTCTGCAACTGGCGTGACTGACCTGGTGATGCACTGAGTTCACGGACTCCGTTTAGTTGTTTTGACCCACAGGCCCCCATAGGGACCAATAGAAGACACTACGTCAAAATGGCAGCCGTCTTCTGCCAGAATCAATAGGCCTTTTAGACGGCCTCTTCTTTCTAGGTGAGGCAGCCACCACTAGGTCTAAAAAGGAGCTAGTCGGATTTGCTTTCACAAGCCGAACCCAGGTGATTCACCGAGAGGAACGCCTAATCCCCTTCTGTTCCAATGGTGAAGCCACCCAAAGCGCAGCAGTGCACTAGCGCTTTGGTTGCTCTTCACAATCTCCAAAGTGCTTCCTATGCAAATGTGGAAGTGATGGCATCTATCGGAGGATTTTTCTCAGAGAAGGCTTGCGCTGGAGCTGCATTTGGTCCATCAATCAGCAGTTGCAGGCGCAGGATCTGCCTCAAGCGTTGCGAAGGGCCAGAAAAGCAGTGCACTCTTGTTAAACATCACACTTACGTGTTATTGACAGCCGCTGAATCTCATTTGTGCAGCGTGAAGAGGGACTGTGCTGCCTGTGCTCGTTGCAATGCTCGTGGGTGGTCACTGCACACTGAAAGCTGGCGCGGATGCAGCGTAAAGTGGAGCCCTCATCAACCAAGCCTCCAATGCTGAAAACACAAAGCTACGCTGAAAAAAACAAAAGGCTGCTAACCAGTTCCCTGCGTGCAGAGCATCCAATTCCGTACATGCGGCAGTGCTGTCAACGGATGCCCATACCGACCGCTGCCCACAGAAGATTAGAAGGAACGACCCTTATCAAAACGGTGCAGACCAAAACTCATAAATACAACTTCTTCATGATATTTCAGGAAGGGTCTCTCTTGTTACACAGTAGAGTGATCTCACGCAGTCCCACATCATCACACCCTCGACCTCGCAAAGAGCACCGGCGTCCGGCTGCCCGCAGACGGCCTTGTCTTTTCAGACTGGAGGGAAGACTAAGCACTAAATTGCTTCACGTTGGCTTAAATCCGAAGCCCATTCCATAAATTCAAAGTTCCAAGATCCAAGTCTCCTCCTTCCTCTAAATTTACGCCGCTCAGACACTGGGAAGTGTTAGGTTACGGAGCGACCTTTCTGGCTTTCCCAGTTCACCCTGCGCAATTGATTTTGTTGCTGACGTTCGCACGATATTCATCTATGTAGATGCTTGATGTTTCTTGAACTATATGAGGAACGTGGACTGGTTGAACGTTGCGTGAGCTCCAGCTCGCAAGTGCACGTCGAGCACTGTCAATGTAGCAGAGTCTTCCGGTCCAGCCCGTGCAATGATTTAGTTTCTCCAGAGCACAAGAACGCCTAAACCAAAACTACTAGCAACTCTGCGTACTGCTTAGCCTGAAAACCCCCTGCGAGAAGCTAGTGGCTCTCCCGCTAGGAAATGCCTCAACGACCCAAAGACAAGAGAACCGCTGCACCATGTGCCGTCAAAACATCCACTGCCTTCGATAAGCCATGAAACTTCCGCAGGGTAAGGCAACACAGCCATCGAACTAGGTAGCGCAACGAGATGCCGGCAGAGTCACTGAGCACTTATCTGTTACATACGACTCCCAGTAGCGACTAACAACGAGTTGGGAAAACCACTTTTTCTCCTCTAGTTCTCTGAAAATAGAGCGGGTTAAGACCTTAGCAGGTCGGCATGCTGCCAACGCCTCACGCTTTCTTCCCTCTAAACGACAAGCGAATTAATCGGGTGTATATGAGGTAACGCTAATTTCTTATCAGCAGTCAAAAAGGGATGTCCCATAACGGCAAATGCTACGTCTACCGCAGTTACTCGCATGAAACATCTGCGGCTCATCACTTCTTCTTTGCAAGCCGCATGGAGAGCGGTTTCTGTGTTGATAGAGACCTTATATATCTCAACCCCCTGCAAAAGACCGAATTCCTAGACTTTGTCTGCCTCGTCATTCCGGGTTTTCTGCAACACAGCCACAAGAAGCCCCAGTTGCATATGTCTCTTAAACTTTCAACTAGGGCCAGCTAAGGAAAAGCCCGTTCCTTGGAACACAACATACCTGAGGACCGGAAAAGCTTCATCCAACTTGCGTTCGTAAGTGGCGCTAGGTGGAAGGTGGTTGTAGACTTCAATCAATGTGCTCACTGCCTGGGGTAACCCATGCCAGGACAGACAAAACATGCAAAGAGACCGTGACAGTTCGGGCTGCTTTTTCACCTCAGCTGCTTCACCTGCACCTACCTTGAGCTTGTCTTTGAAGTCCCAACCCCGAGATCGCTCAAGAACTCGAATTGCATGGGCAACGATGGCACGATCTACACAGCACACACAAACAAAAGGCGACGACGCATCCACTTGCAGAGGTGCAGAAGCTCATCACCGCAGGCCTTGGTCATTGTGAAGCATTTGGGCCGGCCCGTTGGCGAAACAGCCACAACAGTTTAGGCACGTTTGCAAAAGATGGCTCACACTTTGCATCCTTCGGCAAAGTGTGGGCCACGCGCTGCAACGTTGGATATCTGAACACAACCAGCACATAATTCAAATTCATCCTTGCTGTGATATTGGTCGCGGAACTCATTACCTGTACTAATTCCAGCCCGCTTTCTCGAGACTTTGTGCTTTGTACGAAACGTTATCCCTCTTGAAAGTGTGAATATGAGGATCGATGATCCAGCAGTCGCGTATCGACTCACCGAATCATCCTAAGCTCCTTGTCCGTTCCACTTTCCTCACGCCCCATCAAAATGGAGCCAGCAGTACCAGTAGGAACGGCAGAAACGAATCCGAAATGGTTCCGAAACGGATGGAACTCGTGTATCCTGCAGCAGTGCATACGATTCACGTTCGCAAGCTTCACCTTTTCTGCTCCCAGTCATATGCATTTCCCGGGGAAAGGGGCTTACGGCAGCAGCTAGTATTATTCCCCTCCCTGTTCTACTTCGGTACGCTTACATGTCAGAGCGCCTATTCTCCTCTAAGCTTTGCAGCACTTGGTCCAACTCTGCACACCAACGTATATGGAGAACTTCAGGAAAGCGGTATAGCAGCGTCAAGCTTGGCCTCGAACTCTTCAGAAATCAAGTGGATGGCTGAAGAGCTGAGTGGATGGCTGGAGAGCTGAGAGCGTACCGCAGTCAACAGAGTTGACAGCCTTAAGCACTGCATTCACCTTCTGACCCAAACGCGTGCGCTTGTCGAAGTTGTAGCACGTGATGCCGTGGAAAGCAACTAAAGGCTCAACAACTTCCGGCGGTAGCTTCGCCTAAGCACGCAGCAGCACTGATCAATAACAAGAAATGGCGCGGGAACTAAATCGTAACACCGCGTGTTATCCTGATCCACCTACGGTAACCCTACGACGACCGAACTAGTCTAAGTTAAAGTGGACTCCGTCCTTCCCTGCCGAAAAGTGGCGTCTTGATAGTTTATTCGCATGCAGTTACTTCTATCAGGCGACTCACAGCAAGCCGCAACTTCAGGAGGTCTGGCCTCTTGTCCAGGTACTTATCAATCTGACATAACAACAAAAACACCGAAGTCGTTTCCATGAGCGCGTGGACAGCAGCTGGAAAACTGGAAAACTGAGAAGCTACATAGACTGCTCTGCAGATTCCTCGTCAGTTTCTGGCGTCTTCCTATGCACTAAAAGGTAAAATATCCGCAAAAGACGCGGGAAACACTGACCATCGATTCGTCCAGTGCGTTGCGTGTCCCGCGTTCCTCCAGCAGCCTCTTGAGAGCCTGGCGCTTTAACATGTACGGGTTATCAAAGTCAGTGAACTCATTCACAAGAGTGGGGCGACTGCAGAGTAGCACACGGCACAAAATGAACCCGTGACCTTCATCAAAAGGCTCAATAATAGAATGCATCGCCGATCAGTATTCTATTCTCGAACGGTCTGCAGCCCACAATCTTGAGCAGCCTGCGCTGGAGAAGAGATAACTGTATCTATGAGGGTCAAAGTCTTGCCTTTGGTCCATTAAGTCATGCCGGAGGGCTTCCTCCAATATGTCAACAAAACTGTCACTGAGATGGTCCTTGAAAAACATAGCTCAAGCCATTCTGTTAAGCCAGTGCATACTAGTGAAGAAGAATGCACGGAGAACAGAAAGCACAACAAATTACTTAACAGCTTAGGCCCTGCACTTAGGCATTTCAATTCCGTTACGTGTTTGTACGTCCAGCATCCAAAGTTCCAGTGTTGTGAGATTTTTACCCGGGTTTCCCACTCTCGGCTAAGCCTGGCGCAGATCTCTTCGTATACTTCGGCTTTATAGGCATCTTCCACTAGACTCAGAGTCTGTGCTTCCTCCGTAAAATTTGCAGCCCTGCACAGGAAAATCTGTAGACTAAGCAGAATCAGTGGAACGTCCTGTCCTCAGGTATACATATCGTTCAAAGAAAACACAGAGGCACGCGTATACTGTCAGTAGATTGAGCTAAACTTGCGTACACCACTGGCGGCGCCTGCTCCTCAGACTGCTGAACCCGTTTAACTTTCCGCTTGCGCCGACGCAAATGAGCAGGTTTGTAAATATCTCGCAGACGTAGCGTCCGTTCCTGCTGCTCTTCCCGTTCACGCTTTTCTGCTTCCCAAGACTGAAGCTGATTGTCTATGCCTTGAGCACGAAGTTCTTGCCACTTTCCCATCTGAAGTCGAGCACCACGGTGAAATCAGGCAAACAAACGCTCAACTGTCGATCGTCACCCGCAAACCAGCAAACAAGTGCTTTTACGTTTTTTATATAGGCTTTCAGTGTATTCGCTTAAAAATATTTGATCCACGATACTCTTTTCAAGCTTCTAAAAAAGGCAATGCGCATGAATCGACGGAAAACTTGTGAAAAAACTCCGACCACTTACGAAGCTTCCGCCCTCCCTCCGATGTTCGTGCTCAAGCCGCATTCGGTCTTCAGGCCGAAGCATCTGGTAGCGCCGCAATAGGCGAGCAACGCGCAAGCGCTCAAAGTCTCCGCCTGAATGAAGTCGGGCAGAATGTTCTCTTGCGTCCCAATCATATGAAATAAAGCCGAATTCGCTTCGGAGAGGCGTTGGTTTCTACTGGATGTGTACCATACTTCCACAAAAACTGGGACTGGTATACACCGGGTGAGAACGTCAAGTAACTCAACGATAGACTGCACCCATCAACTGTCAAAACCAGACAGCGAAATGCCGTTGCGAGGCATGTGTAGACCTCTGCGCACAAGGACACCTCTCTTCATTCGCCGCCGGTAGGCAATGCAGTGTGATCCTCCCTGAAATCTTACCATGCATGGCTGTAACAGTGTTATCGTCCAATTTGGGTGCCGTAGAGAAAGCTCTCCGAACATGCCTGCACTGGAAAAGTGTTCCAGCGTTCGCCGAGCCCCAAGCGCTGCTGGCATCGCTCCCTGCGCGTGCTTCTGCACATCTCTGATTAAACGCACAGGCCTCTCTCCTCTCCGTCGCACGACAGCCAGACAGCAGCCCCCTCCCTTCACGCAGGAAAGAACCATCAAGCCTGCATAAACGGGAGGCCCGTATGGCAGCTGCAGTGCAGTAGAGGCCAATCGCGGGCATCTTCCATGGTCGTGAAGATTCCGTTTCTATTTCTTCTAAAAGGCATGCATGTTTGGGGTCTTCTATCGGGAAAAAATTGGGTCAGCTGCAGTACTTCTTGGCGTTGATTATCCCTTGCCCCAAACCCCGTTTCCCGTCGTGCGCAGTATTGTTCAGTTCATTTCCCGCAGCCTACGCATCTGCAGGTCCAAAATAAAACATTAACATCACTAATAGTATATTGTGTATTGCCTCCTTCCCCATATTTGGGTCAGGCTACTGTACACAACGGCTCATCACTGCATGTGGCTGCCATTCGCGTGTTGCTGCTTAGACCGTGAAGTACTTTTCCACCAGAAAAAAAATGAAGTATCTCCAGCATTTGACATTCTCCATTTCACTGTCATTTGCCTCACTGTGTGAGCTACTTGCACAGCTTCGCTTGCTGTCACCTTGTGACAAGTCTTTCAGGTTTTTTCATTGTTACAAGTAATGCTTTCCTGACAGGAAGTAATATTGTTTCTTGTCTGATTTGGTTCCATTTGGGTTTTGCGTTCATACTTCAGTGTATGGACACTTGTAGGGTCCAGCATGCATTCGTTACGGTTCAGGAAAGCCATCGGCACGGCCGATTTCCACCTGAATTCCCAAGTTGTGAAAAGGCGATGGACTGTTTTTGTTTCAGATTATGCCTTTGCTTTCTGTGGCTGGGCTCAGTCATATCAGAGCAGACAGTGGGGGATTTCACAGGAATAGCTCCATCCCCCCCAGGAATCCTGCCCACGGAGGAAGCAGGGCACAGTCTGGTTAATTCCTTTTACAAACTGATTAACAGTGCAGAAGACAGTAGAAACTTGTCAAGTTTCTCTGACGAGCTTGCTTCGGCTGTGCTCACTGCACTGCACAACCTTTCTTCCTCATGTACGTTGCAGAACCTTCACAAAGCCTGCAACAAGTCTTGCAATATCTTTTGTACAGTTGTGCGACAGAAGGTCGCAGCTGAAGTTGATGCTGCGTCCCGCAACGAGATGCTCTCCAACCCAGACTCAGACAGCTGCTCCTCCAGGAACTACACGAGGCTGTGTGAGGGATTCCGTTCTTCATTGCAGCAAAATATCTACTGTTCTCCGTCATTACTCTTCCGCAGGCCCTGTTGGTTGGTACGAGTTAGGGGACGGGAAAACTTGCAAGGCAAGTCTTACTAGTTTCTTCGGACCGGATTGATACATGCGAACAACACACACATCTCTTCAGGCCTCCAGCGAGTATAGAGGTGTGGCGGCACTTTGTCTTGGAGCAAAGGCTCTCTCTATATCGATTGTCAGGGGATTGTGAAAGCACGGCAGACTTCTCAAGTATGCCGGGATGGCCCAAAACAAATTGTGTTACACAGGTCAACGATCTTCCAGGTTCTACACCGCTATCGAAACAGGACTTTTCTCGGCGTTGCAATGTTTCATGTAGGGGTTGAACATATGCAGTTTGATAGGGCATCAGCCAGCTAATCAGATACAACAGGGCCATGTAACAGCAAATGCAAGGAAGACTTTAGGTGGCAGAGCTACTCGTTTCATTCGCGAGATCAAGTAGATATGTCGTTGCCTCAGCGTCCCCTGTCCAGAAGGCTGGTCAGATGAGGGGACGCTTTGCAAAGCGCCTCCCGACTACCGTGGGAAGTGAATTTGCATCAATGCTTGCTTCAAAGAAATGTGAATTGTACTCATCGACGATCTCCGGAACAGCTGCGTACTTCAGAAGCAATTTGCAGAATTTGACGAGCCATCGAAGGCTCGTTGGTAGGTGGCTCTTACGTGTTGTGCGAAACGAAGTTACTGCAGAACTGTCCTTCTGCCGCGTTCAGGGCACAGGTGGATTCAAAACTGAAGTTTCTTGCTGCCGCAAACCCTAATGTTCAATGAAAAGGCATGCGGTGTCAGCTGGCCATGCAAAGAGTATGACGCGGACTTCACGACGAGCGCTTGCCCTGTAATGTGGACCCTAAGCGGTAAGAAAGAGAAGTGATAGCATTTACCTCAAAGTGAAGCTCAACTGCCTACTGCAGTTGATGGCAAGGCATGCGAAGCGCCACCTTCTTACGTGGGGCCATGCGCCAGTGTCCAAGACTTCAGTATGGCCAAACAACTCCACCACTGAAAGGCCAGCCCACAGCTGGAGTGTCAGGTGGAGCCTCGGGTGCAGAAAAGGCGCGCATTGCAGCGAAGTGCCAGTTGGAGTGGCCACCCAATTTCCTAGCCCAGTACGACTTCAGTGAGCCGTGCCCGCTGGGGTGGAATGTTTCGGAGCTTCCTGAAGCAGTACGTAGTTCAGTCAGCTGGTGCAAGCAACCCCAACAAACCGTCCCTGGCAGCTGCCGGAATGCGTTCCGTCAGAAGAGTACAGAGGTCGCTGCGTCAAAGTGCAGCGCCTCGCCGGCATAACTGACGCAGAGAAGAACGACTTCGTAGGTGCAGAATGTGGCAGACGCAGTCACGTGCACTCTACCACACTTCACGAAATAGATGATGAAGTGTTCGGCGACGTGGCCAATCAAAGACGCTGCTGAACGGAATTACGAAGCCCCGTGCCCTTCGCTGTGGCGCTTGCATTCAAAGGAATCAGGAATATGCGTCGCTCCGCCTACTTACCATGGGCCTTGCCAGCTCCGACTGAGCTTTTTGAATTATGACGCAGAGGTCAAGAAGGCTTTCGAGGGACGCTGCAGGGTACGTGCCGTTACAAGAAAAGCACTAACATGTCATGATGAATTGCTTGAAGGCGCACTTCCCTGCCTCGATTTTCTCAGTCTTGCCCAAGCTCCAGCCTATGGTATCCGCACCCCTCCGCAATAAAGCTACGGGCCCAATCGGGTCCCCACCAACTAAGTTCCACGGCGTGGTTGTCCCGCCCAATGGCACAATATACTTACCGTCCAGCAACAGAAGTTATCCCACCACGCCGTTAGCGCCCCCGAAAGCCCCAGATTCACGAGCATCTCGTACTGCCGCAACACTTGCGCACATTAAGAAGCTCCAGCAAATCAGACCCTCTGCAACTGATGTGCGACTAAACTCAATGATTACGGTACTTAATATTAACTAGTGAGCCACGATGGACCCCACATTCTTATACTTCTGTGCTCAGGATTTTGTCCAAGAACTCTTAAATCAAGGCGGGACGATGGGCCCCTGAACAGCTACCTGAAGTACTTCTTGTGAATGTTAACTTCTTGTGAATGTTTAACTCCCACACTTGGAAAACCCCCAAACATTATGGGCTCGCACTCGAGTATGGTGCCCATGTCTCGAAAGCAAAACGTTATCCGCACATCCAAAGTGTCCGGAACGAACACGCATTATAACATCGCGCTCACAAGTGGCCGCGAGGCTAGGCTTTCCCTACACGTATCCTCGGCAGAGACCCACCGGAGATAACTGCATAAATATGGATCAAGGAAACATTGGGACGACGAAAAAAAGCTGCTAAGTCGGAGATACCACGAGCCGATGAGACTGTCAACGCAGCTATCCCGTTGCGATGCGAGACCTTTCGTGTGGCAACAATTATACCTCTGATGTCAATCCTCCATGATGTCCAATGATGCATTTTTACAAATTCAAATGGGATCACCCGGCACCTGACAGAACTCTTCAAGTGGCGTATATGCGATGCGTTTAAGAGAACAAAGGAACGGCAGAACACCCATTCACAGCAAGGCATTTTCTATGAATACACCTAAAGCCGCTTCATTAGACAAACCATGCTGAGGGTGGCGCACTGTCCAGAAACTGTAAGCATGCTGGACTGCACAAATTCAATAACGAGACACTACACAAATAGTATTCGGGTGTCAGGATGGCGGTACTGGCCTGATGAGGGACTCAAGCGTAGTTGTTGTAACCGTTGCCGCCATACCCGCCGCCTCCATACCCACCTCCCCTGCTCCCACTATCATAACCTCCCCTCCCACCACCGCTGCTCCCTCCATAACTCGAGCCGCCTCCATAATTGCCGCCGTTTCCACCGCCATAGCCGCCACCAGTGCCATAGCCACCACCGTAGCCACCACCTCCGCCGCCTCCAAAGCCGCCACCTCCATATCCACCTCCACTGTATCCGCGTCCCCCGCGGCTGCTTCCATTATAGGAAGGCGACATCCTGCGATTATCACCCTGAACAAAAATAACAGCAGCAGCAGCGAAAGTGCTCCAATCGAGGAATGGTAGTTAGCAGCTCCCAAGGCTCAGGAAATGAAAAAGACCTACTTTGACAGGAGCGCCTCCAGGGCCAGTTACACGCACGGCCTTTTTCCGACCGTCATCTCCTGACTGAACTTGGAACTCAACCTCTTCTCCCTCACAGAGGTTTCTGAACCCGTCAGCCTTTATCTCCGTTTGGTGCACGAAGAGGTCCGTTCCATCATCAGATGTAATAAATCCAAAGCCCTAAATTCAAATAAGAACATTTTTTAGGAAGCTACAGTCGTCGCCACCAACCTACAGGCAAGTGGTTCGCGTTGCAGGGTGGGAGCGGAACTACCGGCGGACCTTCTTTGAATCAAACCACTTGCAAGTGCCCCTTTGAATATCGCTCATTTTCTCGATGCAGCCTTCACCAGAGTTCCCTATTCCTGAGTAGAAAATCGCCATGGGCAAAGAGTGACAGTTGGACGACGGACGGAAATAGAGGGTCCTCCAAAATAGCACGGGGGTCTAGGAATCGCATCCCACGCATTTATTTGTTGACGCAGTATGTCACTTCACATGCAATGAATTCAAAACGTCAAAATTGCTGTTAGCCACAATGAGGCAGCGTGCTCTGGCGGATGGTTGGCGATCGCGAAAAAGCGCCTTGAGGGACATTGGCAGAAATCACCATCGCAGTATATTTGAAAGGGCATCCCCCAAGCTTACCTTAACCAGATTCAAGACACAAAGAAACTATCCTGACAATGCATGTTTCTCTGAAACCTCAATGAGTACGTACGTGGGGTGGAGGAGGGGTGACAGCAGGCGTGCAGCTGG